TTATCTTCCTTGTGTTTGAAAGGAGCGGGATTAGAGAGGCATTTCACCTGCACTGCGTTCTGCACATCTCCACAGCAGCCAGGGCAGAGCGCGGCCAGGTCAGCAGCCAGAGGCTCACTCTGGCGGTCTGCACGTCTGCCCACTGCCTGCTGAGGGCGATAAGGTGCCCACCGCCTGCTGAGGGCGAGCAGCAGGGAGCTGGGTCGGGGCAGCCCACGAAGCACATACACCATGACGTGCGTCTAAGCTGCGTCTAGATAATAGCATGTATTTATTTACTGGATGGATGGAACTAGAGAGAGAGAGAGAGAGAGAGAGAGATTGAGTGAGACAGGGAGAGAGGTCTTCTCTGCACTGGCTCACTCCCCAAAGGGCCACAATGGCTGAAGCTATGGCCAGTCTGGAGCCAGGAGCCAGGAGCCAGAAGCTTCTTCTGGGTCCCCCATGTGAGTACAGCAGCTGGCCTCTGCTACTTTCCCAGGTGCATTAGCAGGGAGCTGAGTCAGAAGTGTGACGGCCAGGACATGAACTGGCACTCATGGGATGGCAGCTCTGTGGGTGGCTGCCTAACCCACTACACCACAGCGCTGGCCCCGAGGAAGCTCCATGTTAGCTGCTGCAGCGAACACTTGCTCCGGAGGGTATCTTTCATCTGTGAGCCGCTATCAAAGCGGCCTTTCTGTTCCTGTATTCCTGTACCTCACAGCACCGCAGAACCTGCATGCTTAAAGAAATAATTGTTACATGGCTTTTAAGTTGGTACTTTCAAACATGTTGTCTTTGAAACAAAGGAAACCAGTTCTGGATCCTAAAATTACTCTTTGAAAATCAAGTTCCCGAAGCCTTTGAATGATTGAATTTGCAGTTTGCGCATGTAGCCCCCCGCTTGCGGGGTCACCATGAGCTCCAGAACTGTGCCTGGAGCCTGCCTCGGTGGAACCTGTGATTGTAATGGCAAATAGCGTTAATGTAGAGTTCAACCAAATGTTAAACTACTCTAGGAGTAGGCTAGCTTATGAGGTTACCTCTTTCTAGAAACTTACATGCCAGAAGGAAGTGGTAGAAAAATCCAACAACTTTCAGTTTCTCAAGAAATTTGTTTTTTTAAAACTGTGCTCAACTACATAATCCTTTTAAGAGCTCATGGCCCAGATGTACTCATGAGCAGGGGCAACAATGGAAATGGGGTTCAAGCTTGGGACAGTGACAGTCACTCCCCTAAAAATACAGGATTACAGAAGGAAAAATGACATGGGTTCACTTGAGCGTCTTGGCCAAGGAGGGTAGCTGCAGTGTCAAGGCACTGCGTGGCTCTCCCGCTGACTGCGGCTGGCTGCGCCCGAGCCGGCTCACACAAAGGCACTGCTGTCTCACTTCCCCAGAAAGGAGTCACAGCTTTCTTTGAAACATTGTTTTGTTCTTCAAGAACTCATTATTTGATTCACATTCTAAAGCAAATGATTCAAACCCAAGTCTGTCTTAGCAGGAAAAGAAAACTGTACACATGTGTACACATACAGAAACGTATGAATTTACACTGCCATTACTCTTCTTTTGTTATAGTCAGTTATTTCCCCTAGATTCAGATTCCTTCAGCCAGTAGAGAATCTGAAAATCAATTTTGTTTTCACTGATTGGAAAGCAAGGACTTTGGTTGGGAATGAATACTCTAGTTTTAAGAGACTCTCTGCCTTACCCCAAACTTGTGCATGTATTTAGCTGAATTGCTATTTTAGGTGCTATTAGGATTTGTAGCGGTCACTTTCCATTCACTGAGCATCCTCTATTACATTAGGTATCTAAAATTGCCATTTCTTGGAGGGTGATGTGGGGTCAGATTGAGAAAACCAAAACTGAGGAAAAAGAGAAATTAATGATGAGTATCCTAAGTATTTACGGGGACTCAGCACATGCAAAGCAGAGACTTCCTCATGTGGGCTCCACCTTGTCCTTCCTAGTTGTGAACAGTGTTTTATGTGGTGCCCGATTTCTTTTTCTTTTTTATAAAAAGACATTTATTTTTCAATGATTGTCACTTAAGTGAGGGGATACCCATGTAGATCTCTGGGTGGGATGGGGAGGGATGGGGAGCGGGGGAGAGACCCTACCTCTCCCAGTGACTGCAGGGGTGGAGGGAGGGGAGAGCTTGCAACACTTCTTGGCAGATCACATCAGTGTGAGGAGACAGAGATGATCCCTTGATTCCATCCCAGGAATTCTGAGCGGGCAAGAGTGTCCTGAGGCTGTGACTTGAGTGGTCCTGGTGGTTCCGAAGCAGTGTTGGCTTCATGGCACCACACGTGAGGTGGTACTTCCCACACTTTCCGGTGTCTGTGTCTATTTCGGAATGCTCGGTGGAGAATGTGGCCTGTTGTGTCATTCAACTTGCTCTTCTTTCCATGCTTCGGTGAGGCACTCGAGGTTTTCTGTTGAATCGGAGAGTGGCTGTCCTGTCTTTCCTGTGCAGCCCAGGATGTTGTCTTTCCTTATATGGGGTCAGCAACAGGGGTGGCCCGGTCCCACAGTTTGGGCTTTGAGGTCAGACCACATGTCCCTGAGGTGTTCCCTGAGGTTGGAGATCAGGCCTAAGAGACCCATCAGCTGACCACCTAAGAGTCGGTCCCCAGTCCCCAATCGCACATGACCAGTGCGATGATAAAAAAGTCTTTTCAATAAGCATGTCTGCAGTCTACCTGCAATTACTTTCAGCAAGAAAGCAAAGAAGGGCCGGGGCAAGAAATCAGGAGTAATTTACAAAGCATGCTTCTCGTTTTATAGACGGACCTTACCAAAGGAAGTAATGAGTACAAAGTAACCATTCTGCCAACCAATGATTACAACTACACTGATAAGCTTAATGGTGTTTGCTATGTAACAACTCTTCTTCCTGGAAAATTTCCTTTACCTCATATAGATAAATCATTTACTTCCAGAAAATAGCACTTTTACTATAGACTCTGCTCAGACCCTGCCGTTAAATTCAGCTAGCCACTTTGGGTCAGAGGTTATGGGCACATGACTGGAGGGACAACAAAACTCTTTTTTTTTTTTTAAGATTTATTTATTTTTTTATTGGAAAGGTGGATATATAGAGAGGAGAGACAGAGAGGAAGATCTTCCGTCCGATGATTCACTCCCCAAGTGAGCGCAACGGGCCGATGCGATCCGAAGCCAGGAGCCTCTTCCGGGTCTCCCACGCGGGTGCAGGGTCCCAAAGCCTTGGACCGTCCTCGACTGCTTTCCCGGGCCACAAGCAGGGAGCTGGATGGGAAGAGGGGCCGCCGGGATTAGAACCGGTGCCCATATGGGATCCTGGGCGTGCAAGGCGAGGACCTTGGCCACTGCACCACCGCGCCGGGCCCAAGGACAACAAAACTTTGAAAGAACACCGAGGGATAGATGTGGGATGTAGTGGTTAGAATGCACTGGGGACACCTGCCTCCTTTGTCCGAGTTCCTGGGTTCCAGTTCTGAGTCTCCTCCTGCTTCCGGCTTCCTGCCGATGCGCACTCTGCACAGCACCTGCCACCCACATGGGAGATCTACAGTGAATTCCCAGATCCTGATTTTGTCCTGCCCCAGTCCTGGCTGTTACTGGCTTCTAGGAGGTTGAATTAGCAGATGGATTACCTGTGTGCCTGCCTAACATTTGTTTTTCTGCTTTTCAAATAAATAAACATGTGTAAAGGCGAGTGTCCTAGGTGCTCTACCCACTGTCTTCATATTTCTGAACTTGAGTGTCATGGGACGATAACAGCCTTCACCTTGGCATTTTCTTCCCCATTGTCTCCCTGGAATATAAAGAGGCCTTCCCACTGCAAGCCATCCTGACAGAGAAATAGTGTTGTTCATTAGTCTTGTCTTCTCCTCAAGAGATATATCCCAGGATTATGAAATCTATCAGACGCTGTCAATGCTGTGTGTTTAGTTTACTGTAGTACATACCTATGTACCCATGACAAAGTTCACATATTAGAAAAACATGTAGGGTCCTGGGGGCCCCGCTTCCCACCCAGCTCCCTGCCTGTGGCCTGGGAAAGCAGTTGAGGATGACTCAAAGCCTTGGGACCCCGCACCTGCATGGGAGACTCAGAAGAATCTCCTGGCTCCTGGCTTTGGATTGGTTCAGCTCTTGCTGTTGTAGCCAGTTGGGGAGTGAACCATCGGATGGAAGATCTTCCTCTCTGTCTCTCCTCCTCTCTGTATATCTGGCTTTCCAATAAAAATAAATAAATAAATCTTTTTAAAAAAAGATACTATCATAAAATGATGCCGTTAAGAGATCCATTTCTTAATGCCCAAACATGTGAATATGTTACCTTACTTGGAAATGGGGAATAAAGATTCATATTCGTGTATTTTATTTTATTTTAAAGATTTATTTATTTTTATTGGAAAGTGAGATATACAGAGAGGAGGAGAGACAGAGAGAAAGATCTTCCGTCTGTTGGTTCGCTCCCCAAGTGGCCGCAATGGCCAGTGGTGAGCCAATCTGAAGGCAGGGAGTCTGGAGCCTCTTCTGGTTCTCCCACATGGTTGCAGGGTCCCAAGGTCCCAAGGCTTTAGGGCATCTGCAGCTTCTTTCCCAGGCCACAGGCAGGGAGCTGAATGGGAAGTGGAGCTGCTGGGATTAAAACCAGTGCCCATATGGGATCCAGGTGTGTGCAAGGTGAGGACTTTGGCTGCTAGGTTATTGCGCCAGGCCCCTGGGTTACATTAGCCTATTTTAAACTAGATAAAGTATCCTGAATAAGCCAAGTGGATGCAGAATAGTCATAATATTCATTAAATACAGAAGAGGAAGGCAAAAGAGGAAATTGGAATGATAATATATGCTACAGATTAAATATATCTACTCTTTCCCTGTCCCCCAGCAAAATTCAGATCTAGCAGTCCATATGTCCAGTGTGGTGGTATTGGAGACTGGACTTTTGGGAGGTGATTGTGTTAACATGAGCTCTTGAGCATGGAATCCTCATGATGGGGTTTTGTCCTTGGCAGAAGAAACACCGGGGGACTGTCTCTGCACTGAAGACACAGTGAAGAGGAACCCATCTGTAACCCAAGCACCGTGTGCCCTCGCCAGAACCCAGCCGTGCTTGCGTTCTCTCTTGGCCTTCCAGCCTCCCAGATGCTAAGGAGGTAAGCCTCTACTGCTGGAGTCATCCCTCTGTAGTGTTTTGCTATGGCAGCCCGAGCTAACTGAGAATGTGGGAAGGACTTGGCCTAACGTTGCTGGCTTTGAAGACCGTGGTAGAAGCCCATGAGCCAAGGTCAGTGGGCTGCATCTAGAGGGTGGAAAATGCAATAGATTGCCCCCTTGGTCCACCAGAACAGAACACAATCCTGTTGACGCCTGGATCTTAGTTCTGCGAGACCCCTTTCATGTTTGTGCTCTAGGATAATCAATTTGTGTTGGCCTTTGCCAATATACAGTATAGCCTTTTATTGCAGCAGCAATAGAATGAACACAAGTACTAATAGCTGTATAGACAGGGCAGACCACTGCATATTTTAGCAAGTGCAACAAGGAAGAGAAGGAAGGTGCAGTTATTAAAACTGGAGGTAAAGATGCTGGAAACTTTCTGCTTGCAAATATCTCATTCCGAACTTCAAAGGCTGCAGTCGTTTGTTCTTGCTGATTGAATCAATTCCAGGTGTTTATTATAAACACTATCTGGAGCGTCTCAATGGTATCTATATTTTAGTATCATTGAATAATTTATAAGAAAGAAGTTAAGATTTTATTTGCACCTAATTTCCAAATGGAGATTTCAGAGCAATAAATTGTCTGCTGTGATCCTGAAGCCCTAATTTTTTTTTAAAAGAAGTTCTATCTTAGCCCAGCTCCTAGAAACAAAGAATGCAAGTATATAAAATTCAGGTTTGGGAAATAATAAAATATCTATGCTTCCTGCATCTATGCAAAGACTCTGTTTTTTAAATTTAGCCATTCTGTGAAGTAAAGATTCTGCGTATTTTCCCACCAAGGAAGAGGAGACACCGCGTTGCAAAGGGGAGAGGCTGCACCCGGGCAGGCTGCTTCCTGGGACTGTGCCTGAAATCATTAGTCACTGCCACATGAAGCGGTTTTAAATGGAGGAAGTGTGATTCTTAGGGTTTCAAAACCATGTCTGATTTCAAAATGAAGGCTGATCCGTCTTTTTTGGTTTTAAGTGAGCAAGAAGACCTCACAGGCCGAGGTTAGAAATCGTAAAGCAGGCACTGGCCTGCAGGGGGTTAAGCTGTCCCCTTCCGTGCTGTAATCCCGGGTGGGTGCCAGTTGAGTTCCAGCTGCTGTTTCTCTGATCCAGTTCCCTGTAAACGCACTTTCCTACCAGCAGAAGATGCTCCTTGCATGGCTGCCACCCCCACGGCACACCCAGATGGAGTCCAGCCCTGGCCACTGTGGCCATTTGGACCCGTGCTAGCCGTTGTGGCCGTCTAGGAAGTGAGGAAGCAGGTGAGGGTTCTCTCTGTAACTCTGCCTCCTAAATAAATCCATAAGTCTTTATAAGTAAATGAATAGATTACTCTTGTCATTAGGCAGCTTAAAATTCATCAATGGCTTCTCACTGACCTTAGACAAAAATCTAAATTCACATTAGAAAAAAGTCTAACTTCATGTGAGCTCTGCCTATGTGCTCAGCTCCATCTAAAATTCACTTTTCTCTGCTATGTTGATCTTCTTTCCATATTCATAATGCACAGGTTTCTAAAATTTTATGGAAATGAATGTTATGAAAAATGTATAATGAATTTCACAAAAAAATTGCACCAAAATAAACTGATGTTGTTATTCCACTTTTCATGGACCTTTTGAAATATATTCAATTTAAGTTCCCTTCCTTTCCCAATATTTGTTAGTGTTAAGAACTCTCCCCTTTCCCTGCCTCCTGTTCGATATGCCTGAACATCTCAGCCTAGATGGTGCTTCTTCCAGGAAGAGTTCTCTGGCCTGGTAGTCTTTCCCTGGCTGGATCGCTTGCTCTGTCATCTCTACCAACTCCCCACTCGTTACGCTGGCATTTGTCTCATCATCAGCTACATGCTCACTTGTTACAGAATCGTGTAAGTTGCAGAATCTTTTTATTTGTAAGGATTTCATTGTATTTGAAAGGCTAAGTTACAGAGAGGGAGGGAAGGAGAGACAGAAAGAAAGAGAAAGACAGAAAGAGAGAGAGAGAGGTTTTATACCTGCTGATTCACTCTCCAAATGACCTCAGCAGTCAGGGCTGGCTCAATCTGAAGCCAGGAGCCTGGAGCTTCATTAGGTCTCCTGCTTTGCCAAGCTCATTAGCAGGAACCTGGATGGGAAGTGGGGCAGCTGGGGTTCAAACTGGCACACATGCGGGATACTGGCTCTATAGGTTGGGGCTTAACCCATAATATCACACTGACAGCGAAGGTTATGAGTCTTTTTTTTGTGTGTGTGTCTGTCACTCTATCTCTAGTCCCAGGCACAAGCTTGTGACAAAGGATTTATACAGTAAAGGGTGTTTTTACAAATGATAAAAATAAAACCAGAGAGCTAATACAATGCGTTCAAGCCCAGCAGATGACCTGTGGCAAATTCTGTCCTTGGATGAGAATCCCACATATGTTAATTCAGATGATAATAGAGATATCCAAAAATACTTTAGAAATTGTCTGTTATGGTCTCAGACTCATCAGAATAAATTCTTGGTATGGTTTTGTCAAGATACCGAGAGGCCATTGCTATGATGTAGTTGCTAGAATGTAAGGAGATGGGTGTCAGTGGAAGGATTTCTGGGGGGACTAGCAGTGATGCTATTGCCAGCCAGTGGAGATACAGTTCAATATTTTAGCAACCAGTATAAACCTTGAGGGACAAATCAAAGGAATGTTTGCGTGCACATAATACATGAAACTATTTTCAGAACAGTTTTAAATTAATATGTTTCTACTAAGTATTAACATAAGTATTAGTAGATGAGAGATTTAAACTCAAACAATGTTGTCATTTTTCATGTGAAAATTCGAACACATTGAAAATTCACCTTTAGTTGGCCCAGATTACTTGTATGCTGCTAGGAATTCATGTGATAGTGAAGGTAGAAACGGCAAAGTGTTTTTCTGCAAGAAACTCAGACCTCAGCCTTGTTGAACACATCTACATAGCATGGCAGCTGCTTGATGGGACGGCGGCTAGACCCGAGTTTAATGAAATGTTTCCCTGTTTGGGGCCTCAGCTTCTTTATTGTAATTAATTTTCAAATGTTTTACGACTCTTAGGGCCACAGCTCTTTCTTTCCAATTTTGGATGTGTGTGATTTTTAATGAACTCGTATGGACATAAGTGACACATTCTCCTTGTCGTGTCATTATAGATTGGTTTGCAATTCTTCATTCTTTATATATGTGTATATATGTATATTCATATCCTTCATGCGACTACTATAGTAATATATCTATATATTTATATTTTTTGTCATATGGTGGGAAAAATATATTTTCTCCATTTTTCAGCTTGATCAAGTGAACTTACTTTGACCAGTGAGTATTAGCAGATGTGATATAAGTGAAAAATGAATATGTGCTTGTGTAGTCTTGCATACTGGTCCAAGAAGGGTAAAAGGAATGTAACCATAATTTACACTCAGTGCAGAGCCTGGAGCCCAGCCTGGAGTATGCTCAGTGCAGAGCCCAGAATCCTTGGGCCTCACATCAAGACCAAAATGAGAGTGAAAACATAAACAGCTCATGGGTATCTTCTGAATTAATTTATGAAAACATGTGACTGTAGCCAGAAGGTAAAATCCACAGCACTCCCAAACTCTGGGAGGCCCCAAGCTTAAAAACACACGTCAATTGTAACCAATTTTATAGACACATACCACTTAAAGTGACCCAGTTCCCCACTTCAGAGAGAAATAAGAGCCGGAAGATCAGGAAAGCTCTCCTGTCGGTTTTCTTGACAGAGCTTAGGGAAAGTGCTTCCCAGGAGAGGATGTTCATGTTTGAGGGACTCCCTTACTTGGCTTCCTAGGACGCAGCAACTGCAAGGCTGCAGACAGAAGACGGCAGGGCGGTACCTGAAGCCCCAACAAGAGAATGTCGTCTTTGTGATAGTTACATAACAGCATTGAGACTCCTCTGTACCATACACTCTTGGGCCATGGATTATATACATCATTAATGCGCAACGTCTCTGCACCTCACTTTACAAGTGGCTCTGTAAGAAAGAAATCTGTGTTCTTTCTTGATTACTTAGTCGCAGCACACAATGAATTGCTATCCACCACACCTGTAGAGTGGAAATCTTCCCTCTTATGAAAGAACACAAACGCAGTACAGCTCACTTAAGTAGTTTTCTCTTGACTGGTTTCACCAGGAACGTCCCTTCCAAGCCGATCATTCTGCCACACAGATCATACATAGCTGATACACTAAATATTCTGAGTTTGAACCTGGGAAGCTTGTAGAATATTAACAAAGCAAAGCACCAGATATCATGATGGATACAATGAAACCCAGTAATCCTAAAAGAAGTGGGCACGGCCGTGCATGGGTTTGCTTTCCTTCTTCTAGCTGTGTAGGAAAGTCTTGAATTGTACTGGCTTTCTCTGAGCGAGCTTAACAAGCGGCTGGATCCACACTGTGAATCTATCAAATGCCAAGGAACCTGGCAGCATTTGAGCAGCGGAGCACATGTATTGGAGCTAACGGGCATCTCAGCTCACAGCTTCCTAAGATACAAAACAGGTTCATTTTGTTTGATCTTATAATGGAAGGACTGGGGAAATCCTAATTGTGGAGGATAAATGCTGTGCCTTAAATAATCTGTGTCAGTTTGTGGCAGGCAGGAACCAGATTAATTTTGGAACACAGCATGGTAGAAAAAAAAATCCATTGATCTTATAGCCCCAAAGACTGCTGACATAACTTTTCTTGGCTTGTAATTCCTTCCCATGCTGGGCGGCAGTAAATAAATGTCAGCCATTTAAGCTTCAGATAAAGTTTATTGCTGACAACCAGGAGTCAGGTTTGGGGGGAAAAGGAATCCACAATCACTAGCCATGCTTCCTGGTGTGTGCTCAAGCTGCTGTGCTCAGGCATCTTTACCAGCCACTGTCATGGGAGCTCCACCCTGAGGTATAAAGAATAGGTCAAATGACAAAACCATCCTTACTTTAATGAATGTCATTGTTGTCAATATTAAAATTCAAAACAAAGAGTTGGTCACTAAAGGACAGTAAGTCCTCAGTGAGCATATACATGGACACGATGTAGAATAAAAATTTAGAAAGGGGGCCTAGCGTGGTAGCCTAGCGGCTAAAGTCCTTGCCTTTCATGTTCCGGGATCCCATATGGGCACTGGTTCATATCCCGGCAACTCCACTCTTCCCATCCAGTTCCCTGAACCAGCAGTAAGATGTTTTTCTCTGTTTCACCTTCTCCCTATAAATCTACATTTATCATATTTATCAGCTCAGTGACCCGAGAATGGACACTTTATGTAAGACATACTCTGTTCTGTTTTTAAAAATGAGGATAATAATAGGACTTTAATAATCATGAGACGTGTTTTGAGACTTCAACATGATAACGATCCAGAGGCGTTGAGGCAGGTTTTGGACAAAGTTGGACTTGGATTCAAGTCCCACCCATGCCGCTTCTTGCCAGTGTAACGTTGGCGGTTTTCCTATCCTTCTGTGATTTGGGGTCCTGCATGGTTTAATGGAGGTGATGCGATTCTCGTTTCATAAACTTGCTGCTGAATGCGTTAATCCTGCCCACACGTGGCGAGCACTTGGTCTGTGCTAGCTGCTGTTGCTCTTACTGTTGGGCTGTTTTGGTTAGTGCTTGCAAAGCTTGCTCTGTTGCCCTCACCACGATCTCGGGGCTCTTCTGTGCCTTCGTTCCTCATCTTTCTGATGACAAATCTGAGGGAATGCTGTGCTCTGCCTTCCTGTGGACACCAGCAGCCCTTGGCATGGCAGGCACAGCAGTTGACACCGATAGCTCTTCTCTGCTGCACAGGGGTTTTGTTTTAGCTAACCACTTACTCTCCAGCGGGAGAAGGGTCTGCTGTCTCCTGCAGGAGCCGGATGAGAGTCCCCCCCTGGCCACCTCAGCCAGGGGTGAAGGTCTCAAGAATCCCTCATGGTCTAGGGATTTTTCCTTCAGAGAAAGTGTCCCGAATTTTCAGTGATTCCAGTTGGAGAGATCTTTGTATCGAATTTTCTGCATCAGCCTCTATCACATGGCTGAACTTTTTCTGTAACGTTCTATTGAGTGTGAAAGGATCCCTGAGTATGCAAGTAGGATGTGAGGATGGGTCAAAATAGAAGGTGTGATTTGGGGGCACAGAATTCTGAGGTTTGGGTTGTTTGAAATAGAGGCTCAGTAAAACATTGGCATTTAATCCAGTAGATCAGTAGATCATCACTGCTGACGTCGCTGGCTTGTGCCTGCCCTGTACATCGTGCACTGTGTGTGCAAGAAGCACAGTTGCAGGCACCAAAGGAAGTCTGAACACAGTGGGCCCCTAGCACACACGGCAGTGCTTGTCCTCAGACGCCGTGTCAGAGAGGGTTCTGTCGGGTTTCATTCCAGAAATAGAATTCGTGGTGGACCAGACAAGTGCTGAGCTGAAGTGTTTTATTTATTTATTTACTTATTTACTTATTTAGCTTTAAAAATA